TTATCCGGGGATTCTGTAATTGAAATTTATTTACATGTTTTCACTCGCTACGTGTTCCGTCTCTCTGGAACTGGCTCAGAAGGCGCAACCATCCGTCTCTACATTGAGCAGTATGAAAATGATTCTTCAAAAACCGGAAGAGACTCCCAAGGACTTGCTCCCCTGGTGAGACAATTTTCTTAAACTTCTGTCTTAATTGTCACAGCCCCATCTTTGATTTTACGTTTTTAGGCTAACTTTATTGGTTCGATATCAGGTGGAGGTTTCCCTAAAACTTTCAAAGATGCAGGAGTTCATCGGCTGATCTGCACCTACTGTTATCACATAGATCCATATACACTACAAGTTATGGGTTGTCTGAATCGGCAAACATAAATACACTGTTCAAGTCGTGTTTGGGTAACCTAAAGTTTACTAGTCATTCTGCGTGGGCACGATGATTACACGAGAGTAAAATAAATGGACATTTTTCGGGTTGGATTAACAAAAGTCCGATTCAACTCGGCACGTTACACAAATTTATAACATTGTAAATACTTTTTGGACTTAAATAGAATTACCAACACAAGCATTTTAAAATGTCAAATCTTAAAGGAGGAGAATCCAAAAAACTTGAGTTGTTTTTGTAGGACAATTTGAGCTGCATTTCTTTTATAATTTAACATAATGTAAACAATTCACTGTATTTGACTATAAGACTCTTGGAAGAATCCATAGAAATTTCACAACTGGATTACTACCATTTAAAAAAAATTGTTGAAGGAATGATTGAAACTATACATTTGGGGCCATAATCTAGTAGCTAGGATTTAAAATATAAAAAAAAAAAAAATTTAGAGAAAAGATTAGTCCACCCACTTTCTTCGATACATTCTTATGTTAAACTGTTGAGGATGAGACCAACCAAATGCCTTGATGGCATGTAAATTAATATATCCCTACTTGCCTTGCTCTCGAGGTTCGGGATTATAAAGCATCCATTTTTTTTATGGGAATTAAAAACCATGCTTTGTATATTTCCCAAAAAAAAAGATGTTTTATATTATGGAGTATTATCTATCATGTACAAAAATAATTGACTAGTAGATATTATAAATTAATTTATTATTAATTCAATTGAAAAATTATTAATATATTTTTATTTTAAAAGATAATGAATATTATTTTAAGATTAAATTTTTAAATAAAAACTCATCATTTGATTGAACCTTTATTTGAATAAGGTAAGGGCCTAACGTTTATAAATGTGCTCAAATAAGGATAACAAGGATAGCAGTCAAATAAAGATTTAATATTTTTAAATTTCTCTAAATAAGAGTCTGTTTAATAGTTTATATGTATTTTTTAAAAAAAATTACAATTATTAAGAATATTTTAGAAGGAAAACTCGTATTTTTTTTGAAATTATATAAACCATCAATAAAGTATGTGTGGACTACCACATGAATTGTTACGCTAGTATAATGGAAATTTTAATAATTTTTTTGTTCTGGAAACAATAATTTTATTAACTTTTGAAGGTTTACAATGAAATATCCAAAATTATGATATTTTCTTAAAAATTACAATGAAGATTTACAAGCATAATCATAAACCTAAAATATAATTATGACATTTTCTTATTATCATTGAGCTAAAAACTAGCCACCTAGATCATATAATGACCAAAGAAGGAAAATGTTACAAAATTTGAACAAAATAAATATACGAAAAAATCTAACTACATCGATAAATGAACCACAAAAGGAGGATTGAGCTACTGAAATATCACCTACAAATCACAAATCAGAGTCGAGCGACGTAAGAAAACTATCCACCAATTCAAAACGCGTTTCCAAATCAATCTGAGGGTCCGAAGCATGAAAGATAATCATGATAATAAATAAGTGTCATCTTGATCCGTCGCGACGATGTTAAATCTAATCCTGACAAAAAAGATAAACGAAAACAACGACAAAAACGGTAAGCTACCAAATGGCAGAGAAAAACGTGCCACAAAGGTAGATATAAACGTTCCATAAAAACAGAGAACATGTCACGAAGACATAATTATTCTTATTCAAAAACTAAAAATAATAATCGAAAGGCAGCAACTAGCATCAAAACAAGTGTCACTGCCAATTAAATAAAAATAAAGAAGAAAAAGTTAGTTAATCAATAAAATTAGTAGGAGTTGTAAAGAAAAAAAAAGGAAGAGAGAGGAGGAAACTAGGGTTTTTATTTAATAAAGATTATTTATAAGTATTAGTTAAATAAATATAAAATCTAAATTCTTTATGGAAAAAAAGTATAAAATGTTTTTTCCCATGATCACATAAGTGACATCATTTTAATTATCATAAAATAAATAAATCATGGTGATCCTTTAATTAATAAATTAAAATATAATTTTAACACAAATCAATTTTTTTGCATAATTTAATATTCATATACAAATAATGATGTGCTGTAGATACAATTTCATATTTGTACTTTTTTTCACCGTCAACAACAAGTGTAATTATTTTCTTTCTCAGCATAAAACTCATGTATGTCCAATTGAGTACTAAATGACAGATCACACCTTACTGGTATCCCCTATGAAAGTAGCAAAAGAGATACGAAAATTTTAGGCTCATTTGACCGGATCAAAGGTCAATTTTTTATTTAAAAATATTATATCCTTTTTAAATCTTTTAAAATATTAGATTTCTACTTAGAAATCTTTAGGATGCGTTAGGATTGAGGAATGTGAGATTCTCATTTGAATATAATCCACATTTCTCTGGGAATGAAATCTACATTCCCCTGTTTGGTTAGCAGAGAATCTCATTTCCGGTAATGTAAGATTACCAATAGTAGATTTTTTAGGGTATATTACCGGAAATGTCATTACCTCCCTTTCCTTAAGTATTATTGGATTACCGGCGTTTTGAACTAAAATGGCTGTCCCTTTTTCCCATATGTATGGGGTAAGGGGGAGGTAAGATAGTAGGCTACCCCCAACACCAGGTTGAGAGCAGCTTCCGTAAGAGACCTCCGAATTATGAAATGTCCTCCGTGAGACTCGAATTATGAAATGCTCTTAAAATATTTTTTTTCTCAAAAATATAATTCTTTTGTCATTGAATAATAAAAATTATATGAATGTTAAATTATAAATTTATCCTTAAACTATTTTAGATTTACAAAAAAAAAAGTCTATAATTAAAATTTTATATAAAGTTAAGGGGTTAAAATAAAATTTTACTCTTTCATTAAACCTTTTTATATTTTCAATTTTGTAAAAAAAATTATATAAATTTTATGAATTTAAATTTTTTAAAGAAAATATATAAATATTTTCCAACTTCTTAAAAAAAACAAATATATAATAAGGATAATTTGGTCAAATATACATCCCAATAATCTTTTATTCCTTTAATCAAACACGGTAATCTTACATTCCTGCTAAATCAACCAAACAAAAAATACAACATTTCCAATAATTATATTCCCTGGTAATCTTATATTCTCACTGATAATCTTACATTCCGTGAACCAAATGCACCCTTAAGGTTAAAAGCCATGACATAAATTTTAAAAAAAATAAGAGAACTATTTTAAAAAATATATATTTTAAAATTATTTGATTCAGTCTCTAGTGTATATAGTTATTGTCAGAAAGGTATTTTTAAATAGATAAATATGTATTTTAAACATATTTTTTAAAAAATATAGAAAATTAATGAATATATAGTATATATACAGTGACATATCATGGGATCTCTTGATTGTGTCGTGTATAGCTCAACAATTCATTAATGCGATAAATTAGGTCTAGGAAGTAAACGAGGTGAGTGGAGTTTGAGTATTATTAAGTTCGACTCGACTCGAAAATTCGTGAACCTAAAATTTTCAAGCTCGACTCGAACTCAAAATTATGAACTGAAGCTCTTAAAAGCTCAAAAATGCTCGAAATGAAAAAAAAATCTTAAACTTAACTCGATTGAACTCTCAAGCTCAAACTCGAACCTGAACCTTAAATACATAAAAACCTTATACATCATTTTTAAAAAATCAACACATTAATTTTAATATTATTAATATTTTATTTTTAAAAATAAAATCTTAATATATTATATTTTCGAGCTACTCATGGGCTTTTTGAGTCGAGTATCAAGTAACTCGTTTCAACTCGTTAAGAACTCGAATCGAATTTTGACCGAATCGAATATTTATTAAATTTTGACCGAATCGATATCTAATAACTTGCATTCTCTCTAGTCTCATTTCCAGCTTAATTGGGCCCTTTTTGGCATTAATTCGAGATACCTAATCTCTCGTCCTTTTTGGCATTCTTAGCTACCAATCATATATATATATAATTTGATAATCAGGATTTCTTATATTTGTGATAAATTGGGTCCTTTTGGGCTCAATTTTGTAGGAAACTTATATATATATATTTTTGGGTCAAAATTGGATATTCCAAAATAAGTCAATGCATGTGAATAAAGGCAAGTCGCAAGTCGCAATTTGAAATTTATTAGTATGCATTAACCAATCGATAACGTATATTATTTTCGTATAATCGACAACCATGTGCTATATATTATTCTTTTTAATTTATTTCTTATATTGATAACTCACAGGATATATATTTGATCAAGAAAAATGATAAATTTTTCCTTAAAAGGTGATTCATATATTTGATTAATTGATTTTGATAAGTATAAAGAGTGAAACTTATAAATGTAAAAGAAAAATAAATAAAGTGTAGTTATTTTCTAATAAAATACTTTAAATTAGATAAATTTTAAAAATAAAAGAGACCCATTTCGCGGGACTAACGCGACAGAGGGAGTATAATATTTCTAATTGGTACAGCAATAAGTTTTTATAAATAGTAGATGCACAATTACAATTTGATGAATTAAGCATTAATACAACAGTCATTTGTCTCCACCTATATTTATTACCTGTGCAAGCGAAAAGCAAAGTGATTTCAACATCAGGGGAACTTTCCTATTTACATTTTCCAAACTGGAAAATCAACCCCCAAAACTATCACAGTCCAGCATCAAACGGCACTCCGGTGCTCGGAATCCAAGAACTTCCGGCCAAAAAATTCCCCACCGTAAATTTTCCTGCTTCTGCTGCTCCTATAACGTGATATCCACCCCATTTCACCCTTCCGCCGGTGCTTGCTCCGGCACCGGTGTTCATATACTCGGCATAGTAAAGAGTGCTCAGAGCGAAGCTTCCGCTCCAAGGTAACCACCCTTCTTTATCAATCAATCCATCCAAGGTGCTCTTCATGAACACGGTTCTTGAATACTTCTGCCATGGCCGCCCCAGATAACTCTTGAACGAACCTTGAACCACCTTCAAATCCGACGCCGCCGTCACTCGTGAATTGTGGATGATTATGCCCGTATTCTCGTTCGGGTCGGTTCTCCCTTGTGCGGTAACAGTGTTCTTTTGGCCGCTCATCGGCCGACGGATGTAGATGTTGCAGCTCTGTAAGAGGGCAACTGCGTCTCCGAATATGAAGTCGACGGTTCCGTAAATGTCGCACTCACGATAGAATTGACGTTGAGAGTAAACATATAAGGTATCTTGGTAACCTTTAAAGCTGCAACGGTAGAAGACTGAGAAATCGGAACCGGACCGGAAGGCCACCGCCTGGTGTTTTTGTGGTCCGGCGGTGTTCTCAAAGGTTATGTCGCGAGCTACGAAGCCATCACCCGAAACACCTAAAAGAAGAGTGAAAATTTACTGAGTATATTTATTTTACTAATCAAACGATTTTAAATTTATATAAAATTAAAAATAAATTAAATTTTATAAGTACAACCTAACTCTATTATTATATAATAAATTTTTATAATTCAATCGGTTTGTTTTATATTATCTAAATTTATTATTATTATTTTTAATATTATGTTGATTGATTGTGGTGAAATAGGGGACATTAAAAAAAACTTAAATTTGACTTTTCTTTTTTACTTGGTGCAAACTAAGAAACAAAATGATTTGACCCTTATGTTTTAATTTGTTATTCATGGCTCTTAAGTCTCTTTCGTTTAGGATTATGATAGATAATGATAATTATTACCTTAACACGTAATTTTTTTTCCTTTTAACTATGATTTCTTTTACGTAGAAACTAATAACGTATTGAAATATTTATGCATGTTTCATGAAAGAGCATACCAACGGTTGCCGAACGAAAAGTAGTTGTGGTTTGAGCATTCTTGCTACCGGTAACAATGGTGGCATCAATTCCATCTCCGATCAACATTATATTTTTAGCTGATTTCTTAATATCCACACTTTCCTTATATACTCCACTTTTCACGTATATAACACTTCTTTTGCCCCCACCAGCTGCTGCCACCGCCTCCGTTATGGTCTTAAAGTTACCGGACCCGTCTTGAGCCACCACGATATCGGCTTTTGGTGCACCGCTTGATTGCAAGAGCTTCCGATTGGCAGCCGAAAGCCAAGCCGGGAATCCATCGGAGAGTAGGCGTCGATTGCCATCTTGTTTAGGGAAGCTACTATGGGAAGAAGTGGTGGCCTTATTTATGGCTAGAGAATTGCTAATCAACTTGGTAAAGTTGCCTAACGTGGGTGGTAGGATTTGTAAATGAGAGGCTAATTTGAAGTCAATGAAGCCATTTTGACAGGTTTGTTGGTTAGCGATTGCAGCACTTAACCAGGTTTGAGAATCTATGGGATCGTTGGTGCTGGTTGATTGGTTAAGATGTTGGACGGTGTCCTCATAGAGTTCCAAGCAATCATCCCAGGCTAACTTGGCTCGTTCGTGGAATGAGCTCGGGTCGATCGACGAAATCAACCGGTGAACCTGAACTGCTTGGTTCAAAGTCACCTGAAGGGCAACGTCACGGAACGAGAATTGTGTTTGATCGAGTTGTGCGGCAACGCTAACACTATTTCCGATGTAATGGTCGCACACATCAGGGTATGGGGTTTGGGTACATGATGTTATGGGAGCACCATTGACAAAGTAGGCTGGTGGGAAAATGAAGAAATGGGCGAGGGAAATTGCGAGGAGGACAAGCTTATCCATGGAGAAAGTTTGAAAGGTTTTTCAAGTTTGAAGATGATGAAAGGAGAGGGAGGGGAGAAGGGCTTATATAGAGGTGGGAATGGAATTTGGTGGGACAAAAGCATCTAGTGTTAATTAGGGTTTAATTTGGCCATGCAATGATGTGCATGGCAAAACCGGATCTTTCAAAGTGATGTATTGTTGTTTTTGAATGCCACTGGTTGCGGCTAAACTAAACCATTTGGTTTTGACATTTTTTGCCCATGGTTTATTATCATAATTTACTTGTTATTAAATTATTTATATTTCAAAATTTTAATCTCAATAGATCAACTCATAATTCAGTAGACATAATTAGTTGTATTACATAGAAAGAAACAAGAAATATAGAACGGTGAAGACATTGATTTCATTGTGTTTTCTTACCATCTTAGGTCGTAATTTAATATTTATTCACATGGATAACATCCAAATTCTTAATGTAATAAACAAATGTGCCCTTTCATTTTGTTGATAGGGAGAAATCTTCCTTACGAAAATTCTAGATATTGGAACTGTGTTTAACATAAATGTCAAAACCAATAACTGATTTAATATGTATAAAGGAATTGATTATTCAGTTTTTTATCAACTCCCTTGGCCCCGTGAGGGACTTTAACAGTAGATTTTTTAATTTCTTCTTTCAACTTCATTATCTTAATTATTATATATAGGTAAATTTAATATGGGTTTGAAATGTAATAATAATAATAACAATTTCAACATCTAGGATGCAAATAAAAGATGAATTTTTACGTACTCAGAATTTTATTTAATTTTTTTAGAAGAAACGGATTTATATCACTGTAAAGGTAAAAATAAATTATTAATAAAAATATTTAAAATATATAATAATTTATTTTTTTAAGAGCACGAATGTCCTTTTAATCTATCCATGACTAACTTCATTAGCTGTGATTGGACATAGAAGTTTCGGATATTTAGAAATTACCATATATTAGATTTCCAAACTAACACGAAATAACATGTGAAAACTTGGGTTGTTGATTGGGATATACCAGATTTTGTTGGTGATTTAGCGAGTAGCTATTGGCGATTTATTTCTTTATTTTATTGCGACGACTTCTCCCTGTGCCACTTGGTTCAATTGGGATACTATAGACTGTTTTATAATAAAATAATCACAATTATACAGCACACATGTCCAGTCATCAGCCATGGATGAATGGTTCTGACTTTCATTATCCACTCTTTATTTTTTTTTTGAATCATCTTACAAATGGATGGTTCTATGGGGTTATACGTGAAAAACATTTAACTGCGTAAATACAGTATATCACCCCTCATGTTTTAATTTCATTTCTAGATTGTTAGTGTCCAGAATTAAAATTAAAATCCGAAGAAAATAAAACTAAGGGCTAAATAAGATAATTTATGAATAAACGTGGAGAGTCAATCTGGACTGACTGCTGCCCTTCCCCAGTTCTTTCCCTTTCTTTGAGTGATTCAAAAATGGTACGTCTCTAACACGGTTCGACTCATGCCTGCATGCATGACCACACCCATTGGCCCCAAGCCTACAAGAAGTCGTCTATCTGTTATTATAGCCACTAATTATTTCCATAGTTTTTTTATACAAAATACATGTTTATCTTATTAGAATTAGAATTATATTTTTTTAATAAGTTAAAGGTAATTATAAAATAGTATATGTTCTAGATTCTCTCAATCGTTTGGCGATGAAAGCTTAATCACTCTGCTGTATTTGCTAGTGCTTAAACTCGAGACATCTGATGAGTGTTTAAAATCGTTAATCTTTGCTCGTTATTTCTTCGATTTTGTGGAATTATTGCCGTTGAATTGGTCGTGTTATACTTGTTTCTATATAGGTCCTTGCTTTTCAGAATTTGTGACAAAACGGGTGAATTCTGCATTTTTTTATTATTTGGTCACGGCTGGAGACATGGGCACGACTCTGGGCACGACGTGGTCTGACGTGGCGGTTTCTAGAAGGCCCAGTCAGCGACGGTTTCTAGAAGACTTCCTCCGCACGCCTTCTGGAAGATGGATGAGCAGAGTTGCATTACGAGACTAGTTTAAGTTTGAATTTAAATTTGAAAAACAATTATCTTAGGATTATTTTATTTATTTTCTTTGTTTATCCCTTAGGCTTTGAGATACTATAAATACCCACTTGGGGTAAGCCTAAACTCATCATTCAGATTACAATCTTCTTTTCTCTCTAGTTTTTATAAAAGCTTTCTCTTTTTACTTTTCAAGTTCTTTTCATTTTTCTTTTATTTTTCAAGCTTTGTTTTCAAAATGCTAAGTATGACTTTTGTCATGCTTAGCTAAACTTTTCATAAGCTGAGAGTTGTCGCGATGACTCAATTCCATCGGGAGAATTGAAATAGGCCCTTAATATCTTCGGAATATCTCTCTCAATCTCTAAGCTTATTTTTCAAAATCAAAATAGTTTTCAAAATCAAAGATTGACTTTGGTCAAAAGGTTGTTGCGATTAAACGTGTGGGAGGAAGATTTGGCTTATAGAAAGCAATTTGACTTCCTGGGAACACACTTGGCGAGATAGCTTCGCCAAGAGGGAATTGAGATCGGAATTGAGGGTTATCGAAGCAACAATCCGAGTCGGAAGCCACGAACTTAAACGGTAATTGATCTACGACAATTGATGTTGTTAGAATCAATTACCGAAGTCGGAATCAAAGATTGCCTTGGGTATTCGGTATACAAGATAGAGTCACGGGGATAGCCCTTGTAGACAAAGTAACCGACGTGAATCCCGAAGAGAATCTTATTCGATGATCATAAGGAAATTGAGTCAAAGCAAGGCTTGAGGCTATTTTTACAGTATTTATTCACAATCTCTACTCTCTTATTTTTATTTAAATTGCTTTTATTTATTTAATCGCTTTTATCACTTAAATATATTTATACCAAAACCCTCCTTTTATTACTTTCACGCCTAATTTAAAACAATCAAACATAAATTTGTGATTTTCTAAGTCTATGAGGATTCAACCCTTATTTCTCTACACTACGCATTTCCTTATTGATTCGTTGAGAAAAAGGAATTATTTTGACATCGAAAACGACAGTTGTCAACATCTAAAAATAACAATCATTCCTTTAATCATTGTAGTAATCTGGTTCGTACAATTATAATTATATTTTAAAAATTTCTCAGTTTTATAAATTTAATATATTAATCAAATTTTAAAATATATACATCTATATTTATATTATATTAATGGTATGCCTATATCGTTAATTGAAATAGTAGCCCTAGCCCCTAGCTAAATTTTCAAATGGATCCTCCTTCCTTGTCCTACGAGAAGGCAAATAAAACTCACCAAGATTGAGGCTGCCTCTTCCCATTCCATGAATGAATCCCCCTCTCTCATAAAAGTGGTTTAGTTGGTAAGAAGATTGATTAATTAGTTTAAAATGCATTTGTTTGTATTTAATAAAATATTAGAGAGAAATAAAAAAGAGAGGATAGGATCCACATCTTTACCGTTGAACAACGGTTTTAAGACGAGCCCCACTGACTTTCTTTTTGCCTGACAATTGCTTGCCTTGATTGTTTTAAGACCCTCTAATTTCTTAACTTCAATTTCTATTTTATAAAAAAGAAAAAAAGAAATTTATCAATAAAGGTGCGCAAGACACCGAAAGGAAATTTCTTAGCTTCTTTGCATATAATTTTAGGGTAAACAATTATCATTAGTAATTGAATTTTAGAGGTTATTTCATTTTGGTCATTGAGTTATATATAAAAACTCATTTATAAATTTTTATTATTTTTTAAAAGTTATTGAACCTAGGTAAATTATATAATTAATTATTGAACTTTAGAGGCTATTTCATATATTGTTAATAGATGATTAATTAACATCTTCTTTTATCATTGTCGGTTGAGTTTATATTATGAGATGGATGGGATTAGCGAGTGCTGATAAGACATTATAATCCACAAATCTGAACCTTTGTTCAAAGGGCCCCTACTAACAATTAAGACCACATATTATCCACTAAATTTTAGAAGAAAAAAATTATTCTCTTTCTTTGTTTGCTTACTAATAATTTATTGATTCAAATCTCACTAATAATAACTCAAAAAACAATTAATATTGGCTTGAAAATTTCAAGGTTGAAGGAAGAGAGCTAATCGTCAACCCATGGGATGATGTTTGAAGCTCATTGATTAAGCTCCTACTCTTATATTAATGATTAATTGATTGATGAAGTTGACGTTGTGCCCACCTTCATATATATATATATATATTTATATATAATTCTCAAAATCAACATCAAATTTTGTTCCAAAGGTGTACTTTAAAGGTAAGAAATTGAGAGTTTTTTTAAACAAAATGGATGGTACATTAAAAAGAAAAAGACCCTTGTTGATTATTAGGGTCATTAATTGTTTCTCACTTTCGTTCGGAATTGCACATACATAATTAAGAACGTTAGAAAAGTATTTTTCTAAAAAGACCAGTTGGTTTTAATATGTACAAGGGATTTGACTTAATAATTAATTAGGCCTGCCTTAGCTACCCAATTCGATATCTAGCAAAGTCTACTTGCAAATATTTCTTTTTCATACGAGTATGGTTTGACGTAGCACTTATTTGACATTACACCTAACTTCATGTCCTCTCAATACCTTAAATCAGCTAATTTTTTACTCTTGAATGTATTAACTCTTATCCCGACATCGGTGATCCTAAATAAAAATATATATAACGTTCGAAGTCTGAGAGCTTCTTCCACAAATTTTGATGAATTTTCCATTTATACACTAAATTGTATTTTTTAATAGTAATTAAATACCATAATATTTTCTTAACAACTAGTTCGAATGAGATATTAAATTTTTAAAATATGATTAGAGGTTTGAATCTTGACGTTTATAATATATATATATATATATATATATATATAATAAATTAATAAAAAATACATAAATATTGTAATCCCTTAGACTCGGTTTTTAAGAGTTACGACTGAATCATGGTAGCCACAATGAACATACGAAAGTTGAAAATCGTTACCAAATAAAATATCAGAAATAAACTCATATCACAATTATAGGGAGGTTAAAAATAAATATTTAACCTCACAGATAAAACCGAGACTACACTTCCGATAGTCAAACTGATCCTACATCTGAATAATCTGAAAATGACAGACATAAAAAGAGTAAGCTATAAAGCTCAATGTATTCTGTAAGTGCAATCAAATATTAATATTATAACACATATAATTCAAACATGATGTAATAAATAGCACAAAAATCTAGCAATAATTATTCCAATTGTTCACCATCAAAGTATCTTGCACAAGTTCTCATAAACTTACCTTTCATTGTAGATAAATAGGATATAGACGTTGGCCTCCGAAGAGGAACCCACACTAGGAAACGAGATGGGGATGTTACCATCCAAAGAGGAACCCAAAACAGAAAACATAAATTAGGCTGAGGATGTTGTCTTCAAAAGATAAACCCAAACAAAATATAGAAATAAAGAAACAAGATGGGAACGATACCCCCGAAGAGGAACCCGAGATCTCCGCAAATAATCATAGTATGTGAATTTTTATCAACCAGCAGATCATGCATAATACATTATTAATCATAAATCAAATATGCTAGTGCAATATATATATAAATAATAGAAAAATATTTCATGGCATGTAAAAAAAATATTCAGCACAGGTCAACGAACACACCTATACTAGTTAAATGATATTAGCTAAGCCCTAAGCTTCCCATGATCGATAGTACTAGATCCTACGAAATTAGATCCTACGAAATGGGAACTTAATACTAACAATGTAGCATTATTTGAGTACTAAAAAATACATACTTAAATAGAAACAACTAGTGATTTATTTAACGACACCCACATGTATCTCGAATCAAACATCCAAAATCGAGTTGAGCTGAACGAGGGTAATATGGATCTACTAGAGAACGATGCAAAGATATGTGATCACCTTCAGAACATAATAGTAGAGTGAGTCCAAAAATCCCATAATTTACTTAACATAAATGTAACCGAAAACAAATAAAATGCAAATAGAGAAGGTTAGAATTTGACACAACAGACTACGAAAATAGACTCAAAACATCGAAAAACTTAACGACAAGGGTCAATAGAAAAAAGTTCATGGTCAAAGTCAAATTCAATGATCAATATTTCAATGGTCAACGGATTGGGTCAAATCGGTTCACGTCGAGTCTGATTCAGTTATCGATTCAAGACTGGTTTAAGTTAGATTGGTTCAAGACCAGTTCAGGTTAGACAAGTTCACCCCTCAAACTGGTTTGATCAGTCTACTAGAAGCTTTTCTACACATGTAATAGTGACGAGGAACACCATTTGGCGGTCGATTTGACACCAAAATTTCTAGATTTATGTTTTAATTAAAGTACTAGGAGTCTCTTAGCAAGGTTAGTTTATGATGGCGAAGTTGGGTTTTCTTGAAAATCCTAAAACAAAACCTCTTACTCGATTAATAATGATGACGTTGGTGGAGGAAACAAGGGTACCATACAAATAAGAACATCGAGCTAAGATGAACGGTATCAGAGGTGACAATCACGTAAACACAAACGACGACAAATATAGTAAAAATTAAACACAAGTAGAGAGAAGAAAATGGGAAGCAAGGATGCAACATCTTTTAGGAGGCGAGTGGGAAAAAAGAGAAAAGAAGAGAATGAGTATAAAATACCCTAAAACATGAGTTACTCTCTACTAGTCTTCAAAAACTATATAAAATGAAAAACAAAAATTTTATAAAACACGAGTTAACTTTAAAAAAATGTGCAATCAATCTCCAAAATTTTATAAGCATTTAAATTTAACTCCAATATTACGGTTTGACAACACTTCCCCTTCAGAAAATTTTGATTTTAAAGTTTTGACATAAAAAGATGAAGAAGTTGCATCTTCATAGACTCCTAAGCCACCCTCCGCAAGTTTATAGTTACTCCATAATACTTTAACTATATGAAAACGACAAACAAAAAAAGAGTAAGCTATAAAGCTCATTACGCCCTCTAAGTGCAATAAGATATTAATATCAAAATACATATAATTCAAACATGATGTAATAAATAGCACAAAAATCAGGCAACAATAGTGCCATTTGTCCAACACCAAAGTATCTTACAAAAGTTCTCACAACCTTACCTTTTCTACATATAAACAAAATATGGATGTTACCCTAAAAAATGAATCCATAGCAGGAATCAAGATTGGGACATTACCATGAATGAGGAACTCAGAATAGAAAATAGAAATTAGGATGAGATGTTACCCTTTGACGAGGAACCCAAACAAAACAGAAACCAAAAAATAGGAGAGGATCTTACTCCCCAAAGAGGAACACGAGACCTCCGTAAATAGTTTTAATACTAAAATTTATACCAATTAGCAGATCATGTATAATGCATTATTAATCATAAATAAGATATTCTAGTGCAATATATATATGTATAAATAACATAAAAACAACTCACGGCATGGAAAAACAAACATGCAATACAGGTCAGAGAGAACACTTATACCAGTTAAATTATACTAAGTCTTACGCTTCTTACGATCAATAATACTAGATCATGTGGAATAGGAACCTAATAAGAGAAACGTAGGATTTTTTGAGTACTAAAAATAATATTTACTTAAATAGAAACATCTAATAATTTATTTAACGACAGCCATATGTATCTCTAGTCCAACGTACTAAATTGAAGTAAGATGAATGAGAGTGATCTAGTTATACTAGAGAGTGGTGTGAATATACATGATCACCTTCATGACATAACATCAGCGAATGAGTCCAAAAATCCTAGAATTTATTTAACACAAATATAACCTAAAACAAAAAAATTACAAAGCAACGTTTTCGAGTTAGAATTTAGTAAAACAGACTACAAAAATAGAGTGAAGACATCGAAAAATATAAAGATAGAAATCAACTAAAAAAAGTCAATGGTAAAATTCAATAGGTCAACGAGTTATTAGATCGAGTTAGGTCAATTTGGGTCGAGTCTGATTTGGTCATTGGTTCAAGATCAGTTTAGGTCAGATAAGTCCACCCTTCAACCGATTTGATCGATATGTCAGAACCTCTTCCATACGTGCAAGAGCGACGTATGAAACGCCCTCCGGTGGTTGGATTTAGATCTATTAAAAACTCAAGAAGAATCACAAAATCAACAATACATTTCATATTAAAAGACACAACTGAATACATAAACTTTATAGCTTACAAGAAATGAAAATCGTCTGCTTAACATCATAACTATTGGACTAAAAACCTATCAGCCTAAGGCTTTGCTTGCATACAGCTGAGCGCACATTAATTGTGTGCTCCTTAGTTCACCATGCACGTAATCTTCCAAAATTCTCCCTACTTATTCTTATTCTCCTTTCAGCAGACTCACTTTTACCCTTTCTCGAAATATGGTAAATGATGTTTTGGTCAATGGTTTTGTTAGTCCATCGGTAATTTGATGAACAGTAGTAACATAGCTAACACATAACTGGTTGGCAAAATTTTTTTCCCTTACAAAGTGAACATCTAAATCCACATGCTTTGACTGAGCATGACAAACTGGAGTAGCACTCAATGCAATTCCACTGGTGTTGTCACACCAGATGATATGTTGTCATATTGTTTCACTGCTAGATCAGTTAGAAGAGCATCCACCTAAGCAACCTCTGTAGCTGCATCAGCTAGGCTTCGATATTCTGCTTTCATGGTTGACCTATAGACAACATTCTGCTTCTTAGCAGACCATGACACCATGTTACCACCAACTAAAACACAATGACCTGACATGGATCGTCGATCATCCACACAACCACCCCAGTCAACATCATCAAAGGCCACTACACGTATTGCTTCCTTGGACAGTGAAAGCACCAATCCAAACTCCACAATTCCAACCAGGTAACGTAAGATGCGTTTAGTAGCCAACAAATGACACTCTCATGGTTCATGCATGAACTGAGCTACCTTACTCACACTGTAAACAATATCTGGTCTTGTATGAAAAATATTCAATAACGCCCCAACCATACATCGAAATTCTCGAGCACTTTCTAGCAGTTCTCCTTCATCACTACAAAGTTTATTATTGAGAACCATAGGGGTGACAGTTGGTGTAGTCTTTAACATGCTTGTTCTCTCAATCAATTCTAAAATAAACTTCTTTTGACTAAGCACCAATCGATCACCATATCACCAAACCTCAATTCCTAGAAAATACTTTAAGTCACCAAGGTCTTTTAAAGAGAAATTATCGCGAAGTAACTGAACCACTCATTCAATCTTAACAACAGATTTTCATGTAACAAAAATGTCATCTACATAGACAAGTACATATGTAGAGACTCCTTGAGTATGAGAAATGAACAATGAAACATCAGTTTTCAACGATCGAAATCCCATTTGCAAAAAGCTATCCTTCAGCTTAGTATGCCAATTCCTTGGTGCTTGGCGTAGCCCATAAAGAGCCTTCTGAAGTTTGCACACAATCTTGGTGCCATCTACAACAAACTGTTCGAACCCAGGTGGCTGCTGCATGAAGTCATCTTCATTCAAATCACCATTTAAGAAGGTATTGTTAACATCCACATGCTTCAGAGACCACTTGTTTGTGACAACAAGAGACAAAAAATATTCAACGTTGGAAATTTGACCATTGGACTGAAGGTTTCTTTAAAATCTTGCCCTGGTACTTGTGAAAACCCCTTTGCAACAAGGTGAGCCTTGTAACGATTAATTGTGCTATCATGATTCTACTTTAACTTGAATAACCATTTGCAACCAACTGTTGTTCGTCCAGCTGGCAGTGACACCAATGACCACATACCATTTCATTGTAGAGATGCTAATTCATTTTGAATAATAGCTGCCCAGTTACTGGCTTCATGGCCTGATGGATATCAGTAGGAATTGCCATGTCTAATTCACTGACAAACACTTTTAGTTTGAATATACCACACTTACTTCGTGTAAGCATGAGATGATTATTAGTGACATGTATAATGTCAACTGAAGCTTCACCAACAAACTCAATTGAAGCTTCATCAACATGTTGTGCATCTGCATTGGTCACACCACTATTACTTGGATCAATATTAGAAAAGGAACCATCAGTAGACAGAGAGGGAGTATCTCCATTATTGCTCAAATCAGCGCTTGCCAGCAAAGAATCATCACCACATCCACTTAACACAACATCTGCATGTGAAGTGGCACTAGTAGATGCATGTTGCGGTGTTACTACTTGAGGACATGTCTTGTGGCGCTTAACAGTAATCTCAAGTGCTACTGACCTACAAGAGAACTAAGCACGATAACATGCAGCAAGCTTTGTCTCTGCAATAGGGAAAACAAATTCATCAAACTTAACATGCATGCTAATAAAAACTCAACCAATAGAGTCAAGACACTGAAACCCTCGATGTTGAGTGTTGTAACCCAAAAACGTGCACACTCTGGACCGGGGCATCAACTTGTATGGTTGAAATGCTCGAAGATGTGGAAAGCACCTGAAACCAAACACACGCAGAACCTTATAGTATGGCTTCTTAGCAAACATCTTTTCAAACAGGGAAATATTGCCTAACACCTTGGTTAGCATTTTGTTCACTAGATGAGTAGCATTAGCTACTACATATGACCAAAATCGAATTGGAAGAGAGTCTTGAGTTAACAGCACAAGTGCCAACTCTATTAAGTCTCGGTGCTTACGCTTTACAACCCCATTTTGCTCAAAAGTATGAGAGCAAGTGACCCTATGCAAAACTCCTTCCTGAGTTAACTCATTCGACCAGTTTCTGTACTCTCCCCTCATTCACTTTGCACAACTTTAATAGGTAAAGAAAATTGAGTCTTAACCATACTTTGAAATAGACGAAATGTTACAATTGCATGTCATTTATCCTTCAAGAAATACACCTATATATATCTAGCACACGCATCCACAAAAGAAATATAGTATTGATACCCAACAGAAGGTTCAGGTGAAGGCCCCCAAATATCAGAAAGCACAAGTTGAAACGGTACATCATAGATTATAGTCGATTTAGTAAAGGGTAATTTGTGACTTTTACCTAAACAACAAGCAACACAAGTGTGATTTGCATTATCTGAAATAGTAACAACAAATGTCTTACAAACTGACTTTAAAATAGGAAATGCTAGATATCCTAATCTCATATGTCACAAATCAAGTGCATTACAAGAGGCATCAATTGAAAGAACCTTTGGTTTATTACAATTGCTCAAATTATTATTATCCAACGCAAAAGTATAAAGACCACCTTGCTGATTTCCTTATAGTATAATCTTGCCTGACACCTCATCACAAATGCAACATCCATTAGCATGAAACTCGAAAAATATGTGATTATCCCTAGCAAGCTTTGATGCCAAAAGAAGATGTTTAGTAATTTTAGGTACATGTAACAATTCTGTAAGTAACAAAGCTTGTGAGGATGATGATGAGCGTAATAAAGATTTACCAACCATATTTACATTAAGAGAAACTCCATTCCCAACCAATAGATTACCTGGACCATCAAGATCAGTAGTGTGAGCAATATTGGACGTATCAGGAGTCACATAATGTGTGGCACACGAATCAATAACCCACTGAGCACGAGGAGATACAACCATATTAGCCTGAGATACACCACCAGCTTGCATCGAGACAACACCATGCTTACTGGCACAACATGCACAACTAACATTGTCAAGACTCACATAGTTAACACTACTCAATTCACCCTTAGATCGTGGCTGAGTATTATTTTCTAAATCACCTGAAAAATCATGATCAAACTGATACCAGCATCTATCAACCGTATGTCCATTCTTACCATATAGTTGACACTATAGACGGGCTCGACCTTTACCACCAGACCGTTCACCACGTATCGAGGCAATGTGTTGTTGTTTGTAATCATGAGAATTATTAGATGCAGTAGAGCTAACATGAACTTTACCCTGCACAACATTGGCACTCATCGAAAAATTCTCAGTATGAGAATTAAATCCAGCCAATTGTGTTTCCTCATCAATGAGCATTGAATAAATCCGATCCAGAGAAAGCGTATCTGGACTTGTAGTGATCACTACCATAAACGACTGATATTCTGTTGGCAAGCCTTTCAAAACGCTCACAACGTGCTCAACCTACGACACATGGCTGCCACATGACTCAAGAGCATCACAAATCTCTTTATATGAGTGAGATATACACGCATCGAGTCATCTCTTTTCCTCAATGACTGAATCTTGTAGTGCAAGTTCATGACCGTGTTGTAGATCGGTTGGCAAAGAACTGCACAACAGTGTGCCAAACAGCCATTGCGGACTCAGCTCCTAATAACTGAGGTAGAAGCAGAGCACTGATCGTGGACAAAAGCCATGAGGCAAGAGCACTGTCTTGTGCCATGAAATCTTTAAATTCTTCATTGACAATATACACTTCATTATCATCAACAACCAACTCAGGCGGTACTAACATTGTGCCATTGAGAATCCGTTCGAGCTGGTGACTATGAACCGTGAGAAGAACCTGCTACTTCCAGAAAAGAAAGTTAGTCTCATCCAAAACAATGTTTACTTTCTTATTCGTAAACATGGCGAACCAACCAGAACAACGCTCGAAAAATCACGTCAGAGAGCACAACAAAGAAGAGGCCTAAAACGTTTGGCGAAAGATACCATATTATAAACTCAAGAAGAATCACAAAATCAATAATATATTTCTTATTGAAAGATACAACTGAATACAACAACTTTATAGCTTACAAGAAATGAAAATCGTATGCTTAACAACATAAATAATGGACTAACAACCTAACAGCCTAAGGCTTTGCTTGCATATAGCTGAGCGCCCATTAATTACGTGTTCCTTAGCTCACCATGCACGTAACCTTCCAACAACATCAAAAATTCCAAATTTATGTTTTAATGTACGAGGAGACTTTTACCGATGTTAGTTTATGGCGGTGGACAGGGGAACTGTATTTTCTTGAAAACTCCAAAACAAAACCTCCTCCCTGATAGATACTGACGATGTCAATAAAGGAAACAAGGATATCAGACGAATAAGAAAATTGAGCTAAGTTGAACAATACTAGCAGTGGCAACCATGACGACACAATTGACGACAAAGAGAACAAAAACCGAGCACAAGTAGAAAGAAGAAAATAGGGAGAATGAATGTTGTAGTTTTTAGGAGGTAAGTGGGAAAAGAATAGAAAATAAGAGAATGGGTATAAATTACACTAAAACATGGGTTAACTCTGCTACTAGTCCTTAAACTTTAAAAATTTTACAATCAAGCTCTAAAATTTTTTAAGCATTTAAATTTAACCCCAATATTGTGGTGTGATATATATATATATTTGATAAGATACATTTACACTATATAAATTTAATAATTTTTGCATGAACCAAGCGACTTCAATGGTTAATGGATTGTTGTTATGTAACGTCCCGAAACTCGGGTCAGTAGTTTGGGTTAATCTGAGATCCGTTTTAGAGCCCAAATGATTTATTTAAAATAGCTTGGATCAAGTTTATTAGGAATTGGGCTGAGTTGGGCCCAAAAGGATTATAAGAGGTGATGATATTTTAATGAGCTTGAAAGTGTAGGGACTTAAAGTGTAGTTTATCTAATTTTATTTTGAAAGCTAAAAACCCCCTTATTTTTATTTGGTATGCGTGAACCACTCCCCCTATAATATCTCAACAAACTTATTCTCATTCATTCCATTTTTTATCTTCCTCTCTCTTTCAAAAAGTAAGTTATCAAATAATCCAAGTCTAGTTTGATTCAACAAGGTAAGATTGTTAGTCCTCATCCTACTAGCTTTAATTTAAGATCTACATTGTAAGTTTTAAATTTGGAAATAAAAAATAGGTTTTTGGGAGGTTTAAGGGAAATTTTGGATTTTAAGTTGTTGTTGATAGATTCAAGTTCTAGTAGTGTTCTCATCCTTAATTCATCACTTAGTTTAATTAGAATTATTTTTTCTTACTCTTGAATTGTTAAAGAAGTGGGTGAAAGCTCAAAGGCCAAGGGGAAAGAGAAAACTCCCATTGAGTGAGTTGGATTTTGCATTTAGCAAAAAATTTGAGGTAACCACACTTACAACTCCTACATACTAGTTATTGGGTCATTAAACATATTAAATAGCATGAAGGTTGAGAAATAAGCTTGTTGAGCATATTAATGGTAGAATTTAGGTTTTATGTTATAAACATGATTTGAAGCCTTATTTATGCCCCTTTCATGATGACATAAGACTCTAAACACATTTGGGAACCTCTAGGTAGCAATGTAAAAGAGTTTGAGTGCCCAAATATGGCATTTTCAAGTGATAGTGTCAGTAGTGGAGGAATCAGTACCGATACTGTTCATGTTCAGGCTTAAAATTATGAAATTTATGAAGGCAGTATCGATACCCCTTGAAGGAGTATCGATACAGGGTTCGGTATTGAGACTGGTGTGCTTGGTATCGAAACCCAAATTTCATAATGCTATTTTTGTTTCGGTACTCAAAGGAGTATTGATACCCAAGGTCTACAGCCCATATGAGTATCAATACTTTTACTTTTAAAACAAGAGAGTTTTGTACTAGAGTATCGATATCTTGAGAAGGGTATCGATACTGTGTGACCAGTATCAATACCAAGGAGTTATTTTGGGCTATAAGTTAAGAGGAATTATAAAATCTAGTGAGGTTCCCAATAAGCTTTATTTTCTCTCAAATAAGACTACAAGTGGAACAATAATAATGCTTAACTCGAACATAGAAACAAATAAGAATAGGGTGACATAAAACTAGCATTGGTTGATGTTTGGTAAATAATTCAGACACCTGAGTTCTTTTAATTCAGGGTGTCGAAGTATAGAATCAGTCCGGATATCCTTAGGTAGTATGTAAGGCCCTTAAAACTGACTAGCTTGGGCGTAAAGTCTGATATTCGCAAGGGGTGGGATAGTCGGGGGTGTGATATTTGATGCAGAGATTCCAGAGGCCATATCCTCGGTAGACTAGAGGGGTGCGTGAGCTCCGAGATATAGAAATTCCTCAGCCGCATCATGATGTCTACCATAGCGTAAATAAGTTATTAAAGCATGATATTAATGAACCCAGTTAGTGTGTTTTAGTTGTTAGTGTGGCACTCGACTAGTTAGCTCAACGTTTGAAATTTGTTTCCTTACGCATATTCTTAGGTGGAGCACTTGAAAAACTTTTGTGCAAGGTAGATCTAGACCAGATTCTAGGGTAGAGTACGTCTCGAGTCCTTTAGTGGTCATGTATATTCGAAATCCCTATTTTATATACTCGAGTTATGATTTGTTTTGAATGGTGGTCTGTATATTTTTGTTTACTATTTATGGGAGCTCCATAATATAATTTGTTTTGTATAAATGATGTTAAAGTTTTTATTTTATTTTTATCATTGATTTTTTTTTTATTTTGAATGGTTGTTTTAAATTAATAATAATGTGAAAATTTTAGTTAGCCACTTCAGTGGTTCATTGTGGCATTCTTATCGGTCGACTGTGCGTTGTACTGGTGTAAGGTGTTACATGTTATCCCTTAAGGTCTAGAGTTAGGGCACAAGATCTATGTATGCAGATGTATGAACATTTATTATCAAATCATTGAGAGTGTTTGAATATATATTATATTTTATTCACTTTAGATTTATCGGAAGAAATTAATAAATTCTATATGGAAATATCACCTGAATCAATGTGGAGGTATGCGTGACTCCAATCCGGCAATCCACTTCGTGAATCCAATCTGCTACCTAGGCGAGGTAAAAGAAATCCAGCACACCAAACATTTTTAATATAAACATTTAAGAAAACAAAGTTCTGATTTAAAATTAGGCTTAAATGCCCCATTACCCCTGAACTATACCATTTGTATCATGTTACCCCATAAAGTATTTTTTGAGACGTTTTGCCCTCTTAACTATAAATCTTTACCCCGTTTTCCCAAACCGTTACTCGGTTAAAAATAGCATGGCAAATTACATATTTAGTCACTCAACTATTTTCAGGATTCTACTTCCGTTATGCAATTATTTTTTCTTTCAAAATAATCACTAAACTTAAGTTTTTATTCCATTTTAGTCACCTAGATCGATTCAATTTATCTTTTTGAATTTGTAACATTCATTTATATCACATATTTTTTACTCGACATATACATTTAATTTATAATGATAAATAATATTATAACGTAAATAATAAGCAACATATTAAGTTGTTTGTACTTGAAATTTTAATAAAGAAATATTAAATGTTAAATTAAAATATCATAAATATTTAAAAAAAAAATATGAACTGGTCATTATTGTTCAATATTAGAAACTTTTTTATTCGACTTATTTAATCCTAGTTTTCAAAAGATGTATTAAATGCTTAACATAAAATCACCAGCTAACAAAAAGTTGCCTATCGATTCATTTTAGATAAAATTTTCTGTTCCTACAAACCAAGCAAACTAAATAGTTAAGAGATTTATAGTTATTATTTGAGGTTTTGGATTAGAGCATCGCTTATGTTAGAAATATGAGCATTCACTATCAAATGTTTAAGAGTATTATTTAGACAAACACCTCAAATTTATAAAAAATAAAAATAAAAAAATAAACCAATCAGTTTCCCATCCACTCCTATATACAATTATCACGTTTCGGTTCAAAATAATTTTTTAATCAATTGAGATATTCTCAATATTTTCAATTTACTTTGAAAATTAGGGTTTACGGTATTATGGTTTAAGATTTCCCTACTTATTAACACATAAACACAACCAAAGTACTTTTTATATCAATCATTCATTTGCTCAATGTTTTCAAAGCCATAAAGGTTTATTTATCACTTAATTCAAACAAAATTCATTTCATAATTAAGTTATGTATAATATTTAATCAAACTTTTCAAATCAATTACATTTCTCAAAACACTTGCACTTCAAAAAAATACATAACATATTATATTATTCAAAAATCACTTCATCCACATAAATTACTAAATTATAACTATCCACATGTTATTTCCATAAATATTTACTTTTAAAATATACCATATTTATAAGAAAAATTCAAGGTAAATGAACATCACAAAGTACATACCAATTTCTATTCATAGTAGCTTTGAAATATGTTTCCAAATATTTTCTTCAACATATATCTTATCTTTCCCTTTGATTTCTATTCATATTTCATGTTCTTTATCTTCAAGAATGAACAACACATAAATGATGATTTTCTACATATAAGAGGAAGATATTCATGAGTAAATTTCACTTACCTTGGATTTGTTTCTAATACTCGTATTCATTTCACGTTTCATTCTTTTCTCTTGTCTTATTTCTTCAATTTGTCGCCGAAAGAGGTTCAGATGAAGTTTTGATTGGCAAATTAATCAAAACGGTTGAGAATTGAAAAAATAAAATGTTGGAGAATGTTGGGTTCATTCTCTTTTCCATTAAGAAAATGAAATGAAAAAGATGACTTCTGTCCTTTGATTTTTGGCACTTGAAAGGAAAGATGAAGAAAACTCTTCATTTATCAAGAAATTTTCCCTTTAATTTAATCCAATGATCAAGATTGGTCATGGAAGAATTGATCCAATGACTAACGTTAAATCCCGTACAAAAATCTCCATATTTTTCTTTTTGTTTTACCCTTAATGATTTTCAATGGCCAACATTAAACTTGCACTATTTGATCCAATGACTCACGTTATTCTTTATAAAAATATCATAATTTTCTTATTATATTTAATCAAAATTCATATATAATTACCTTAAATAATGTCGTTTTCAAAGTAGCTTTCTTATGGCCTAAATATAAAGGTAATTTGATTTTCCCCCTTTAACTTTTATCATATTCTTATTGTAGACGCTCAATTTGTCCGGGGTGTTATTCGTGTTTAATCGGGTTTTATTATTGTTTTTATTGCAATTTCGGTTATTAGCATAAATTTGGTATTATGTAGTTATATATATATATATACGGATAAGTAATTAAATAGTTAAATAATTGAATAATTAAATATATAAAATATGCCCTAAATATTGCCATTTTTGTTACAGGCCGAACCAAACAATTAAAATACAACAGGCTCAAGCCCAAAGTAGCAGCCCATTTGAGGATACCCTAGACCCGTTAGGGTTTCCTGTCACCATCTCCATGCGCAGCTGAGCCTCCACCGTTGGATCTGGCTTCATGATCCAACGACTCTCAATCCTCCCAGAAGCCTCCACCGTTAGATCGGAGGTGATCCAACGGCTCCTAACGCACTCGGAACTCCAAGACAGCACGAACCAACCGGGTGCTACCCACGTGAAGTCTCTCGGGACTGTTCCCCATCGCCTGTGCCCAGGCTGCTCGCGCCCGTGACTTGCTCGCTCCAGATCCCTGCAAACACACCAAACGAGAACAGAAACAGAAAAGAAGAAAACTGGAAAGAAATCTATCAACTAGAAATATAAAGGAAAGGAAGGGGGTAAGGGAGAGCCCTCGGTCATCGGCAACGGAGAGGAACAAAAAAAAAGGGAAACACCAATCCCTCAGTCATAAGAAAACAACAGAGAATACAACCCAAAAAGAACACAAAAAAAACGAAATACCCAGCAACCAGCAACCATAGAACACAAACCCAAGGCAAGACACTTACCCTTTCGATCCAGTAACTTTCGTCACTAGAAATCCACACCCCGTCTGCGATAAGGTAAAACCTTTTGCTTCCCGTTCATTTGGAGTCGTGCATGTCGGTTTTAGGTCTCGAGCTTTAGGGATTTGGAGGGTTCGGTGTAGATTTGGTCATATGTTGGCCGGGTAGTTGGATGGTGGCTCTCATCGGAGTCTTTTGGGGAAGGAAAAAGGTCGCGATGGCCGTGGTTTTTGTAGGTCTACTGGAGAGTGAAACAGAGTGGGATTCGAGGGTTTGGTTTGAGTCATGGGTTAGGGTCGCGTTTATTTTAGGAAGAGGTCTGCTTCGAGTTATCGTCGGGGCTTGTGTGGCTCCCCATCGGAGCCGTTGAGCGACGGAGGCCGCGGTGGCCTTCTGTTTCGCGTAGGGTTAGGCGAAGAGAGGAGAGGGATTTGAGGAAAACGGCAGGGTATCTGGCAAAGGTTGAGAGAAAACGGCTGAGAGTTGTTTAGGGTTGAGAATAAAATGAAGGCTAGGTTAGAAGATACCCTAATGTCTCATATGCTACCACGCCAAAACGGCGTCGCATCATGTAGGTTCAAAACGGCGGCATTTTGATGTTTAGGGGGAAACGGTGCGTTTTAGGGTTAGATGGTGTAGTATCTGTTTGGGTCCTCCCAATTTCAACCCGTTCTGTTACAGTCCCTAACCGAGATTTGTTGCAATTTTAATTTCGGCTCTTAATTTATAGCGCATCTTATTTTAGTCCAGTTACCTATGTTGGCCATTTTTGTGCAAATTTGACATTGGCTATGTAATTTCGGAAATGTGCATTGTGATCCTGTATGGCACTTTTGTAATATTATGCTTGCAGTGCATGGAAATGAATTTTTTATGAAATGAGCCTACTGTTTAGTTTCTTTATATTTTAACCCTTGTTTAACTTTTGATTAGTATGTTTAGTTTTGATTTTATTCATATTTAGTCACTTTTTAAAATATGTATATATCTATATATTTTAATTTTGTAGTTTTTCATGTCATGTTTTTATTACATTTAAGTCATGTTTGTACATTATACGTTAACATGTGTGGTTTTTTTTTTTTTTTTTTTTTAAATTAAAATATATGTATATATTTTTTTCTTTTGTACATGATATTTTAATCATAATATTTATTACTCTTTGCATGACATTCAATCAACATAATTTGCATGATAGCCTCACGTGAATAACTCGATCTAATCACATAATCGGAATTAAGGGTAATGCCCTTTTAATCTAAAATTATCAGAATGGCTTTTCTTAACTTACAGGAAAGTTGTTTTGACGATTTTAAATTAAAATGGTATCCCGTCAGTAACACCTAATTAAATTTGGATATATCATTGTAAAATTTGGGAGCGAAAGAAAAGAAAATATTCGACTATTTAAATTTTTCGAGAAAAGGTCGTTAGAACTGAACTAAAGATCTGGTCTCGATATTTTTAAATAATCGAATATCCTTTATCTTTCTAATGACTTGGTAATTTTAATTAAATCTGTTTTGTTCCTTTTCAATGTTTCAAATTTGCATTTTGTTGTCTTAAGGGATCATAAATCAAATTAAATTCGAACTTGTGAAATTCGTTGCAAAGACAATAATTAATCGACGAGGTACCGATTTAGGGCGTTGTGGGGGTGCTAATCCTTCCCCACGCGTAACCGACTCCCGAACTCAGATTTTGATAACGCAGACCTTAATTTGTCGTTTTAATTAAAATTAATTCTTATTTAAAATGACAATGTTTTTGGGTGCCCAATCACACCCTAATCAAAGATTGGTGGCGACTCCTCGAACCTTATATTTTTATCGTAAAGGAATTTCCAATTTTCTCGAAACGAGAGGTTTTCTAAAATCGCACTGTTTTTAATTAAAAATCCAATTGAAAAGATAATAACTAAAGATGATGCGGTTTTCCAAATCACCCTCGCCCCCGTTTAAAAAAATCGTTTCGACAGCTTGGCGACTCCACTGGGGACTTTTTAGAGAGTCAGGCCTATAGTCGATTAATTAATTGTCTTTGCAAACGAAAGTTGTAAGTTCACTTTAATTTGATTTTTGATCCCTGATTTGTTTTAAATTGTTGTTTGCATTTTAATTTGCGTTTTAATTAACAAATAAATAGTTGTACTAATGTGTGATCTACATGTTTTCAGTTTTCTGACTTTCACTTTAGTCTATTGTTTTTCTTGGATCGAGGCAAAGGATTATGGGTTTCCCCTCACTGTCGTTACAACCATTTCGATATTTAGAGCCTTCTTACTGTGCTCTGTCCCGTTAGGTAGGGGTGAAAGCTACGCTTACGTGAGAAAAATTATTTTTCTCCGCATGGGCTTTAGCTAGTAACCTCTGGGGTACATGCCTTATGTTTACGAGTGAAACATTGAGTTTCCTCGCATGGACATAGGGAAATGTATCCTCTCAAAATTGAACTTGATCCGTTTTAAGCCTATAATGGGCGAGGATCGAGGGTCTGGCAAGCCCAAGGGGGGCACCAGCAAAAGACAATTCGAGGACCCTTTTAGAAATACTGAAACTCTGCCCATCTTATGTTGAATCTCTGTCCACAGACACAAAGGGGAAACTCATTCTAACTTTTCCCTCGAATTTTTTTTTTTTTTTTTTTGCAAAAAGTATTCGAACTAGAGATCATGTGGTTAGGTTTATTTTTCAAACATGCATGTGAATTAGATACCATGCGGTTAGGATTTTTTATGAGTAACAAAACATGTGGGTAAATATCATGTCGGGTAGGATCTACTAAAGCATGATTGGGTAGATATCATATTGGGTAGATATCATGTGAATAAGGTTTAAGATGTATATATTTTCTATCTCCATGTTGTTTATGTATTCTTCGACTATTCATTGTATATACTAACACAGTTTTATTTTTGTTTGTGTTTTGTGTTTTATTTATTACTGCTGCATTGCATCATCATTCATGAAGAAAGGTGTTGATTCACAAGGTGGTCATAAAAGTAGAAGGCGGTCATAAAATGGACAAGAGCTTTCATAACAAGGAAGTGGATAACGCAGAAGTGAGGTCGTGGTCCGAAGAAAGTCAAAGGAAGAAAGGTGACAGTTTGACTGAAGATTACATATCAGTACTACCAGAGGTTGCTCCGGTCAGTCTAAAGCAAAACGATTTGCAAGAGTTACGCGAAATTTGGGAAAGTTGGAATTCTGATGTGAAATACTCTTTCTGGCAAAAGTATGGTGACATCGCCCTTCTGTTGTACGTGAAAGTAAACGAACCCCTAATCAAAGCTCTCGTCCAGTTTTGGAATCCCGCATATAGCTGCTTCACTTTCAACAAGGAAGATATGACTCCCACGTTAGAAGAATACACCTCCTTGTTTCATTTCGAGACGATACACTTGGACCGTATCTACTCAAAAGCCTCAAGGACACAATCCTTTAAGAGCAAGCTCGCAAGGATTACTGGGATGGGAGAGAATTGGGTTGCTGATCGAATCCAAAAGAAGGGAGAGTCCGATTGCTTCCCTTGGTCATGCCTCAAGGAGCTCATTGTCAAGTATAGCGATATCGAGAAGAGCATGGAGATGTTCGCCTTGGGAATTTATGGTTTGATGATTTTCCCGAAAGTTCTTTATCACGTGGAAGCCGCAGTGGTCGATTTATTCGAGCGTTTGGAAAGGAAGGTAAACCCTGTTCCTGCAGTTTTGGCTGAAACATTCAGAGCACTTAGCAGTTGCAGAAGAGCTGAGAGTAGCCGCTTCACCGGGTGTGTCCAGTTGCTTACTGTTTGGATACGCAGTCACTTCTGGAAAATTGACCGAGAGTATAGCCGA